CTTGAGGAAATTTTTTTTTTTTTTTTTTAAACACAGTGGAGTTTATGGTTTGCAAACACATGAAATAGCATCAATTAATTTATTATAAATTAGTTCAATTCTACATAATGGTAATTACCATCAAGATTTAACATCTCTTCCATGCCAAGTTACTAGTTGGTTTTATTACAACAAAGAATCTCCAACCATTACATTTTCTCTCTAATTTCAGGAAACAATATCATGAAAAAAGAAACAGAAAACTAAAAATTAAAAAGTAAATTAAAAAGTATCAAGAGCTCAGATACCAACTTCTAATGCGGGTTTTAGAAATGTCAAAATATCTAGTGAGTTTGTTACATGTAGGGTCAAACTTATAATTATTACTAAATGATGTGCATGAATGAAATATGAAATCTACTGGTGACGCATATTAATATGAGTGAATTATACTTGGCATATATATATATTCATGGTTAGGGATAGTGCAGATGTACAGGAGAAGGCTTCCTCAAGAGTAAATATTTGTCATACTTTAATATGATAAACACAGCTAATGGATGTGGCATTCCTTTCAGTCTTTGTCCATGAGGTCTGAAAATCCCTACTAAATATGGGAATCTCATTTAAATGTTTTAACAATCACATTGTAAAACCAATTTCAACACTACTTCAGGAACCGTAGCTATCGATTTACAAGACACAGGATGCCGAACGTCCAGCGGACCTACACTAGCTCTTCCTTCTGAGGGAGGTAAAGAAGGCAGACGGCCCAGTATAGCACCTGTTCTGGAGGTTGCAGACTCATCCTCACTTCAGGCATGCGACCTTCTAAGTGACCAGTCAGAAGATGAAACCACTCCATCTGATGACGAAGTCTCTGCAGGCTTAGAGTATGTATATTTAATATAAACTAAGAAACATTATTTGAAACAAGCATGGGCAGTTTTGACACGCAGATCAATCCAAGAAGTTGTAGCAAGTAAGACACACAAAGGAAGTATTTCTTTTTAAGAAATGCTTTTATCTGGTAGCAGAATACTGTGATGCCTATTTTGAAAGAAGAAAAACAGACCACACCCTCTATTTACGGGAGATTTTCTACACGCTGTAATGTTTATAGCATACACATCAAGTGACATTCATGACCATTTTTCCTGCAGTTCATAATTACTAGGACTAAAGTAAGCTGTAAACAAATAAATACCTCTGTCCTTCCCTGACAATCAGGTAATTTAACAGGCACGTTGAACACTAACAGTAGGTACATGACTCCAAAACATAAGAACAATCCAAAATGTGATATGAGATCACATTATTACATCTAATTTAAAATGTTTGTTAGCACATTAGTGAAAGTAATGCTGCACTGCTCACAAAAAAGCAAATCTGGTAACCACCTTAAAATAAGATAGGCAATTATGTTTATTGGGATTACTGAAAAGAATATTGAAACTGAAATACTCAATTAAGCCAATGGCTTACCTAGCAGTTTCGCATCTCCAACTTCACTAAGTATGAGAAGCCCCAGGGAAGATCATAAAAATCCAATGAAAAAAATAATAGAATAAGTCATCTTCACTCTGTCAACTGAAACAACAGAATGTAAAAGGCCGCCTATCTTCTCAGTCTTCCCTGATGGCTGTGGATATTCTGATCACGTATGTGCACCTCCCATTGCAAGTGAGTCTTCCTCACTATCATGTAGTCTTTTATTAAAAATGAAGGCCAATTAGAAATTTCATTTTCGGTAAAAGAAGGTAACGACCTTACTTGTTCTTGAGATTCTGAATGATAAGTGGGGAAGGAAGAGAAGCTGTCCCACCATGTTTTCTAGTTTTCCAACTTTCCTTATATTCCAATGTGTTTAGAACACCAAGTCTGTACACTACAATATATCAGCCCATTTCCAAAGATGTTTGTACAAAAAAAAAAAAAAAAAAAAAAAAAAAAAAAAAAAAAAGCCAAACAGAATTCCTTCAGTTCACAAAAATTTGACAGCTGTCAATACATTTTATAGAATGGGTCAAAGATTTAAATTACATACCTTTGTTCGTTTAATATACTTGACTCTTAGTCCACAAATACTTGTTTAAATAGGCATAGGTATAAGCATCCCATAAAACAGCTGTATAATGAAATGCATTTCATTGTCTATACTAAAAAATGTTTTTTTTTTTTTTTTCTATTCTACTAGGTATGCCAAAGGCTATCCTCCTTACTCTCCTTACATTGGAAGTTCTCCCACATTTTGTCATCTTCTGCATGAAAAAGTACCCTTCTGTTGTCTAAGACTAGATAAGGTAAAGAGAGTTCTCTGGTATTGGATAAAACTGCATTCACATTTGTCTGCTGCATCTAAACATTTTTTGCTTAGATGTGAGCTTTGTCACAGACTAAGTTTCTCATCCTTTTTCATCACCAAGCAGTTGCATCTATGTAATCAGATCTGTTTCAGGTCAGCTGATACAATTTTCTATTTCTAGTGGTAAAACCTTCCATTCCATTAAACCTCTTCATTCATATCCACTGAACTTGTTTCTCGTTTTAATTTTAGGGGTGCCAGCATAACTACTATGAAGATGCCAAAGCCTATGGATTCAAAAATAAATTGATTATCGTTGCAGCAGAAACTGCTGGAAATGGCTTATATAATTTTATCGTCCCACTTAGAGCTTATTACAGACCGAAAAAAGAACTCAATCCCATTGTATTACTCCTGGATAACCCGTATGTAGATTTTAAAAATATCTGTCTCTTTTTTTTTCTTTGTGATACATTTTTAAATCGTTTTATCATTACTTTGATAGGTGATCACTCTTCAGATGGCCAACTTAAAATCAAAAACATTATGGCACGTACATCTTTGCAAAAAATGAAAAAATACAGAACCTATGTTGTTATATGCAAAACTGACTTTCTCCTGACTGTAAATGGCTGTATTACATTCTAATGTCCTTATTCTTCACAGGTGATGTTTCAATGAAGTATTAAAATATTGAAAGTAATATGAATAGTCACTAAAATTAACTTTGTAAGCACTGTAAAAAAGTCAATTCGTGTAGCTAGTCATTTTTGTAGCTATGAAACTGCACTTCAAACACTGCTTTTACAACAAGTCACTTAGTGGCCTTAATAGGAATATTTGTAACAATTTTAGACTCTAAGATAAATAGTTCTTTAGGCCAGTAGGATCCACTTGCTAATTCCCTTTCTCTGCAATAATGTTGTTGTTAATACCACACCTGTGTGGAGATCACTAAAATTATTAGCCTTTTTTCCATTAGCTTTTCAAACTTTAAGAAAAAACCTTCTGACAAGAGTACTGCTTAATAATCTGAACATAAATAATTGTGGGGGGGGGGGCTGTACAGATATTGATGCTAAAGTGACACTTTGGTTTGCATGTATGTGCTCTGGCTTATTACAAGCAATTTTTTATGCAAAGATCTGCAATGAAGTGTTCTACTTTAGCCTCAAACAGCTTTTTAATGAAGCTGTAAACACTTGTGTTTGCAAAGCAAAGGTTTTAAGTGTATATATGCTATGGCATAAAATGAATTACATGATTTGGTGAAAGCTTGAATTGCTCTTTAAAGATTTCTGGTTTTTAAAGTTTGTTATAAAGTGATGTTTAAGCTGTGATGTGAACACAGAGTGCCCTCTAGTGCTTGCTATCTTTTCCACAACGGCGCCTGAGCTAACACACTCAGAGCTATAATTTTACACCTAAATATCATTTTAATGGCAAAAAGTTTTGGCTGATAATTAAATTAGAACCCTTATTTCTCTACCTTCTACACTGCATTTGCAGTGGCTCCTCCCAGCATTCAGTGTCGCAGAGTCCCTCCTGAAAAGCCAGCATGCTTTCTATACATGCATTAGGCTGAGGTCTTGGTGCCATTCATGTCAATTGGCATTTTGCAATTTATTTCACTGGACTCGGGAATCTAACCACCTTTGATGATCCTGCCTATGCCTTTTTGTTATAATCCTATTTTCTTTTTATCAACCCACTATTACAGTATTCTGTTACCTATACGTGGCATTTTTAGAGATTTCAGTTGTTTCTCGATATGCAAGAAGAAATCCAGTAAAATTTATGAATAAAGAAACAATAAAACTTTATTTCACACATTGTTTTTAAAATAATATTTTTCTTCAAAATTTTTCTCATTTACTTAAGTCAGAGTTATTAGCTGTAACTCAAAGATTCTACTCCACATTTTCATTAAGGTTTCACTGCTTATTTTTAGTATCCCTAATTCGTGCACTGGAAAACAACTTGGCAGCGTGTCTTTGAAATCAATCACTCGTTTTAATATTTGAAATTGTACTGTGCCATAAATTTTCTGATTTAAGAGGTGCATTTATTAATAAGCATGTGATCATTCTGATCATCCTTTACAGTTACAGCACTGTTATTTCACAGTTTTCTATTACCCGTGTAAAGACATAATACTTCCAAGGTTTTTTTTGTTTTCTTTTTTTTTAATTTTTTTTTTTTTTTTTGAAGTTTAAAAAACACCATACAAAAAAAATTTTTTTTTTTTTTTTTTTTTTTTTTTTTTTTTTTTTTTTTTAAGTATTTTAGAAGAGATGCTGCTGTTGTGATATTGTGTTTCATTTTGTAATCCCATCTGCTGCTTAGGCCAGATATGCATTTTCTGGATGCAATCTGTTGGTTTCCAATGGTTTACTACATGGTGGGCTCTATCGACAAGTAGGTGAAGTAACTGTTAGAAAACTTAACATTGTAGTGGTCAGTGGCTTGTTTTGTGTATTGTCATTGCATGTCTATGTGTGCGTTATATTTGAAGATGATCTATCTGCATGCATGGTCTGTGTGTCTGTGTGCTATAGTTTGAGATTTCAAATTTCTGACTTCTAGAGGATATTGTCAGTAAAAAGTATGATAGGGAACACAGTTTAGTATCTTCAAAACCCAAGCATTAACATTTATTTTAATAAGTATTTAGTACGTCTCTAGAAATCGCCAGGTAATAGCACTGATTCTAGTGACACCCTTTATCATTTACAGACTAGGCTTATGTAAAATAGCTATAGAACACAAACAACACTAAAACTAATGAGTTTAAATGTTTCCAACAGTCTTAATTTTCCCCTACATAAAATATTCGCCTACTCCAATATTGGTCTTCAGAAATTCTGCTGGTATATATTTGCATATCTAAGCTCAGCAACATACATTTAACAGAAAAATCAGGCAGAAATGACAAAGGGGAGAGAGGAGCAATGGCTCAGTAGCATTTTAGTAAGCTCATGTGCCTAGTGTCAAAACAAAGTAGAAAATAGTATGCTTCACTACATGGCTGCTTTTGAGGTGGGGCTGCAAGGCCACAGTACTCATTCTCCAAACAGACATCAAATAATTTATTTCCTGCCCAGAAGTAGCAGAACCTATTTTTTCAATGAAAATTTTAAATATTCAACATTTTAAAGTTTTCATCCTGTTTTAACAGGGGCTTTAAAACTGCTTATAATAGCAATAGAGCTGCAGATTTGTCTTGGCAATACCTTGGTCACTGTGAGACCTGCAGTGGATCTATAGACATGTTTTTTTACTTATTAGATGTGTTTTTCTAAAGCAAAAATGTGTCTTGGGTTGCTAATAGCTACTATTTTACTTAAGGTTTTAATCCTACAAAAGTTACAGAAAATTCATAGAAGCAGACTAATTGAATTGCCTCACAGTATCTCAAATAATTAATAACCCAAAGACCATTTTTAATTAACTTGGAAGATTAAATTCTAATAAAAATTACTGGTTTTACTTTCAAAAGGAAATCACTTCCTACAGGTTTTTTTTTCATTTGTTCTGAGGTGTGTTTTATTTCTTTTTAAGAAATGAATGCGTAAACCTGAGGACTACAGTCCACCAAAGACATTACTATGCAAAGTTCTTTTGTTTGCAGTATTGTTAACATGAACTTATGCATCAAATCTGACAATGCAGTCACTTTAAAATCAGATTCTGTAGTTCTTTTTTGACATCTATTTTCATCAGTAATGAGATTTTGTATTTATTTTGTGTTTTCTTAAATGTTTTAAAATCATATATAACCAGTAGAAATCAATCATGTTTAGCTAAATGCTACAATGTAAAATATACAAAGTTTCTTTCTTAATGTCTCTGGAATTCACTTCCAATGCATTTAAGAATGCCATCTGCTACCTTTTAAATACCTAATACACTTGTCCTATGGTCACTTGGCATGAAATGTCACAAAGTTGAAGAGAAAACCGCAAAAAGGATTACCCATATATACCACTCCTTTTTTTGCTAGAAGCAAGTAGCCTGCAGAAAAACATCTTTACAGAAATCCATAGCTTGACTGAACTTCACCAAAATGTACCAAGTTAGCAGAAACATCTACAGACTTCGAGTATAAAAGATGTGAGATATGTAACTGACCAGATTCCAGTAGTGCAGGAGTCTGTTACATATTAACAAATACTGATAATGGAATTATAAAAATACTTATTAGAATTCTAACTCCCCACATTAAAAAAAAAACTCAAAGTAGTGGTACAACTGAAAAAAAATGAATAGGTTTTTTTCCATCTCTGAAATGCAGAAAATATAGTTGCATTTTAGACTTTGCTGCTATTTTACTGCTAGTTCAGTATTACATTACTGCTATTTCAGTAATTAAATTACTCAGAGAAAGGTCAGGTTTCCACATATGCACTGACATTATTAGTATAGGTCATATAATTTTTCTTTTAGTAGTCAACCACCAGTTAAAGTGCAGTTTCAAAAATTATACCATATATTTGTTTTGGAAGAACACATATAAAATGTAAAATAAACACCAATAATGTGTATCCTTTTCCTTATTCTAAAGTTTCAAAACAGATTTAGAATAGGATATGTAAAACTTAGGAGCCTTAGAAGATCACTGAGAACAGTAATAATTGAATCAGTATAGTTTAGACAATATTACAGATTAGATCAACTGCCAAATGAGAAGCAATTCTAATGACAAAATAGCTTTTCTTCCTTGGAAGTAAAGAATGATGCAAAAAATGTAGCTTTTCAATTTCTCCTGGAAATCATGAAATACCCTTTCTTCCCATTTTCACTTGAGTCGCTTGGTTCCCAGCAGCTTTTATTACAGAAACTAAAACAAAAACCAACCAAAGAAAATAAAACTTTCTAAAACTTCTCCAGAATTGTTTTAAAAGTAACTTTTCCAACAGAAACTAACAACCAAAATGTGCTTCATTTTGGAAATAAATATAAGGCATGCTGGCAACTGTAACTTAGTTGTCAGAGGTGGTTTTCTGTGGTCAAACTTCACAGCAGATATTGTCCAGTAGGTGAAATGTTCTACTGAGGTACAGCTGGTCCTAAAGGTATTGTAACAACACTTCGATAGATAAAAGAGGAGCTTTTCAGATGTTCCCTTAGAACCCTTATTAACATTTTGAAACTGAAACAAAATGTGTTAAAGAGCAATCATTTTAGATCCATTCATTGCCAAAAATAACTATAATGAAGCAAGTTGATGAAACATGTAAGGACATACAGTCTTTCCATGTAACTGTTAAAGGCTCATTTTAATTTCTGAAATAATTCTACCATTTTAGGAAGACTGACCATAACAACCTGAAGTGTATTCTCTATGACTTCAAGGGAAACAATTCATATTCTATTCTCTCAATTCATATTTTTGACATGGACTATACTATAAGTTATAACATGTACATGGAGTTGCAGGGAACCAGCAACTCAATGTGATTTATCAGTATCATCACTAATCTTTTAAGCATTTCAGGTTAAAGTGACTTGTTCATTTCTTTCTTCCTCTTTCTCTTCACAAAAGCCTAGATGACTTATTAAGATGTGGGGTCACCTTTGCAGCTAATATGGTGGTGGTGGACAAAGAAAGTACAATGAGTGCTGAGGAAGACTACATGGCAGATGCTAAGACCATTGTAAATGTTCAAACACTCTTCAGGTAAGAGATCTTTTGCAGTCTCGTTTTACATATTCATTAATCACGAGGTACCTAATAATGCATTCTGTATTCAGACGAGGGTGTGGTTTCTATTTTTGTTTCCCCTTTCTTTTCACATAGCAAAAAACCTTAGCTATAAACTGTTTCTTGGCATAACTCTCTTGAAATCTCAGACAAAACTCATCCCCAAACTTGAGGATAATTTCTAATTTTCAGGTTTATAGGAAAGGAACAAATGTTACTTTGGAGAACAGGTCAAAAAACACCCCACATTTTTCTTAGTGCAGCTGTCCTTGTGCTGCTAAAGACAATTCAAAAAAACAGATCCTTCTAATGCAGCAGCTTATGCATTAGTATGAAGTTAATTGTGTATAAATTTTGAATATTGATTTTTCAACAAAAAACAGATTTTCAGGCACATGTGTGCAGTATTACCTCTGACAACAGCATATTCAGAGTCAGGAAGGAATATCTGAATTCAGAGTGAAAAATTGTAAGTCTAAGAAAGCAACTAAGAAACCAGACAGAGTTCAGAGACCTCCAGATCATTTGAGAACATTTCCTGATTAAAGCTACGCTTCATGTAAGTATCTCAATTCAACAAGTACCAAATGATAGAAATCACGTTAAACGGTGAAGAAAGTTTATTTGAAAAAAAAAAAAAAAAAAAAAACAAAAAAAAAAACAAACCAAAAACCCACAAACAAGAGCAGATATATACGCTATGCAGACAGCTAAGAAATGCTTCCCTGATCTAGAGCTTAAATCCAAAACCTCCTGTGATTTATTTTACTAAGGTTTGGTCAAGAAAAATAAGCATGTGAAATCCAAAGTATTTCAACAGATTTTTTTTTTTTCCCCAACTGTGTAGTTGATTAGTGCTAGCATGACTGCATGCACTCCAAAAGAAGCAAAATCTATGCTACATAAGAAGTTTTAGTTCTGTCTATTTCAACTTTGAGATTTTGAATTTGCATTTGATTTTAACATAGATGCATCTCAATCACATATCAAATTTAGAAATTATAATTAAACTTTATTCATGGAACATTCCAGTGTAATAATAACCACATTGTTCTATGATATCTCACTGAGGCAATGATATGCATCACTAAGATTTCCAGATTTTTTTCCCTAAATATAAAATTGAAAAATAGAATGGAAAGTAAATAAAATTTGTTAAGTAGGTGTTGATATTTCCCACAGTTGCGTTCTACCCAGTGCAACACTAAAAAAAATCACAATACTACATTATGTATAATGGATATCCAAGTAGTAAAACATGCTGTATAACCATTCAGTTTACCTGCACAATAGCTACAACTAGACGGCAGCTGTAACTCATGTATGAAACATACAACTGCTCAGTATAATTCTAAGCCTGCATAGACCTTCTTACAAATTCAAAATAAATAAAAATAACACATTTTAAGAATTAACACTGTTTCCAGAAAACCTTGTCAACTTCGTAAACTGTTCTTTTACCTCTTTTCCTGAATTTACTTCTTCTCAAACACAATGTATTCTCTGTATTTTTACATGATATCAAAGTTGCAGGGATAACTAAGTTTTTCTAAGCAGTGTAAAGTAGTGACATTCATCTGTTCTGCAGAATAAACTACATTCATCACATGAACATAACTTTATAAATTAAGATCTTTCAAGTTTTTTTGTTGTTTAGTAATATCTGTAAGAAAGTAATGAAGAAGATAATGGACAAAGGCAATGAACAGAAAGTATAGGATTAAATAAGGATTTTACGTCACTGGAGTGTTGCTAATATGTGCTGTTCTCAAACATTTACACAAATTAAAAAGATTCCAACTGAGTCATAAGAAATAAAGCTATATAAGTTTATCTAAATCTCATTGACTCACATCAGCTGATCTCATTATGGATTGCAGGCAGTACTGAAGAGATGATGCAAGTGCACTGTAATGCTGTTTGGCCTAAGTTGCCAATTCTAATAAGCCTGTTTTGGCATTATTCCCTGATTTACATAAATTACTAAAAATAAATTACTCTTGTTTAGACAGAACAGTACATCCCCATCCAGCTTTGATTAGGAGATGGATGTGTTGTTTATAACATGATGGAGTTATTAACACCTTTAAGGATAGAAGTTGTTTCATACCAATTAAAATTCTGACACAACACTAACTTACCAGATTTATAGTTTAAAGGAGCGAAGAGCTGCAACTCAAACAGTTGCATCAAATTAGAAAGGAAATTTTTAATCCTTTGGGTGGAAAAGAACAAATCAGCATAGATTAAAAGTACAAGGAGCAATTACTGGTTTTTGGCTATGTCCTAGAGATCTTTCTCAATGTAAAATATGAAGCTAATCACTGACTACCACCTCGATAAAACAGGTTTCCTTAAGCAGAAAATCTGTACTAGAAGTGTTTATATTTATTCTTACTTTACTAATTAATGAATTTAAATGCTTATGTTTGGGAAGTCCTGTTTTAAGTTCCTATTATCTAACATTTTAGTGGCTAAGTTTCAAAAATGGCAAGAAATTTGTTAATAACAGTTTACATAATAAGTTAGTCATTCATATGACACTTAGCAATCAGTACCAATTTATAAATGGACCAAATAAGGTTTTATGATGCCATTACATGTTTTTCATACTTTATCCTCTCGGCTCATATCCATCTCTCACTTGTCCAATTCCCAAATATCCATTCAACAACATCATGTCTTCCATCAGGCTGACTAAGGTTTCCTCTTCCCAAGTCAGGTTTTTTTTTTTTTTTTTAATTTTTTTTTGTTAAATAAAAGAAAAAAACAAAACAAACAAACAAAAAAACCCTGAAAACAGAATGAAGAAGAAAAGAGAAATCTCTGTAAAGAATAGGCCTGTACTGTTGAAAGTTTGCAGGCAGTGCCTTGAACTAGGGTTAAGAGGCAATCTTGCTTTGACAATCTCTAATGCTTTTTCCCTATTTCCACTGGAGGGCACTCTTAAATAAGAGGTCTGAATTTTTATCAGTAGCACATTCGTAGATCTTTTGCAATCTTCTTTTATAACTTGGTTATTAACTAAATCCATCTGTAGCAGAAACCTAGTAACTTGCAAATCTTCTTCAGATCATGTGCATCTTATCATTAGATTAGTTGTTTAATTTGCTTTTAGTTCTAAATTATTATACTGTTGTTTTTCAAACCTGAATGCTGGTCCATTAACACAACAATACCAGAAAAATTTCCAGCCAGCAGAAGCTTCAGTAATTATATGTTACGCGATACACAATTAACACAGAAAATAACAGAATTTTAAGAGGAAATATGTTCTTCCTCTGGACTTTTTCCTTAGGTTAGTTAAGAGATAGAAGTTCTTATGTACAGAGTATTTTCAAGGCTTTCATTTGTATCATATATTAAAAAATAAATAAATGAAGTCACACCATAGTTGCAATTCAAATGTGTGTTTACCATGTGTTTAACCTATCTATGTAGGCTCTATTCCCTAAGGGCTCAATCTTTAGTAGAATGGAATAGCCTTTATATAACTACTGCACTAGCTAAACTGCCACAGAAAATACTGAACGTACACAGCACTTTTCAAGCTACAGTGCACACAAGATGTCATTAAGTGATGCCGTCCAGATTCTCAGCTAGTTTACTAATTCCATTTTTTCTTTTATGATCACAATATTTGGTTATTCACAGGAACAGAACTGCTAACATAACGATGTCCAACATTTCTATAATGATATGATTTAATACTATATATAAAGCTCAACAGACATAGAAACTGCAGTAAGATGCCATTAACACACATACTACTAGGTAGTTCTTGAAATACATTTTGCCAAATTTAGGCTTTATGTGAATTATTATTTCAGTGACGTTCATCCCTACAAAACTGAGGGCAAGGACTAAAAAGTTGAAAAAAATGCACCGTGCAATCCATTTGACATTACCTCACTAAGGTCAGGTTCCAAGAAAAGCACATAAAATGATTGATGACTGCCATGTATTATCGGTACAATATGACAAATTTAGAGCCTTATATCAGAGTCTATTATATGAGCTTTTTATGCTGCCATAAAGACTTAAGTTTTCAGGTGCTTAATTAAAAACATGGACATGAACACAAGTCACAGCATTATCTAGATCCTTACATTTGTGAACTGTTCTAATTGGAGCTTAAAATTGCAACATTCTTTTGAAATACAGGTTGTTCTCGAGCCTAAGCATTATCACAGAGCTAACTCACCCCGCCAATATGAGATTCATGCAATTCAGAGCCAAAGACTGCTATTCTCTTGCTTTATCCAAATTGGAAAAGGTAAGTAATGAGGTCTCTAAAATGTAGAAAACAGTTAAATATACTAAACACTTAATACATACACATGTCCTAGAATAATGTGCAGTTTGTATTCCATTTTGATGTAAAAGTGTTGTAATCATATATCCTGTTAGCATTTTCATTTATCTGGTAGTTACATTATCACAACAGTTTGAGAGCACCAGTTCTCTTTCATAGTACAGTCCTACTAATGGTAAGAATAATAACACTGCTTAAACGTTGACAGACCCATATAGGCTCATGTATGTTTGGCATTTTCAAGTTATCAAACAGAAGGGCCATTGGGAGGTAAGCTGAGTTTAATTTGCTCAAGAACACGTAACCCCGGGCTCATCCAAGATACTATTGCTAGACAGTAACTTCGGCTACCTGCTTAACTTGGTCAATTCCAGGACAAACCTCTTTTTCAGAGATGGTGATCTGACTGACCTAGAAAACTTCCAGTATTGTTTTCACGATCACAGGCCACATTCTGAGTTACTTCATGAGATCAAGACAAATACTATCATGACACTGGTCTTCAAAACAGACTTTTTCACTCCAGTCCCTCTCCATCCATCACCCCCCACTTGCTAGTAATCTAGGCATACTCCCAGTTTCTTCGTGTCGTACGTCTTAGTTACCGTAGAAAAATCCGAGTTCAGTTTGAAGTCATTTTTATTATGCAGAAGTAACTTAAAACTCCCATTTCCTAGCTGAACAGTGATTGCCCTAGAATGTGGGTGTAAATTTGAAATTTACATTTTTGCTATTTACTGTGTAACAGTGACATAGTTTTGACAAGTGTTCGTGTAAGGTATTACGTAATGGAAAACCACCTTTTCACACAAGTTTATCTTCACAGCCCAGCTCCCAGTATCTTATACAAGAACAGAACTCTTAAATTCAGCTTGTTTAGATGAAACAGGATGATAAGAAGTTTTATTACAATCAATTCTATTGACTATCATGCATACATGTTGACCAGAAAATGCAAATACGTAGGTGATATTTTGTGATTTTTTGGTCTTTGCTTAAAACAGAAGGATAGCTTAAATCTTGTTTAGGTGGTTTGATTTGCACAGAATTGAGAATCATGAAAAAGCTAGACAGAAACTGTTATGAAGAGAGGAACAGTTTCATTGGGAGGCATATTTTCATTTTTATTACCTCACTCCTTGTACCCATAAAGGTTTGCACCCATGATTCCTACATTTTAGCACTCCTGCCCTCTCCCCTCAGTGCTAACTGCAGAAAGAATTAAGCTGGAAGTGGCTGGAATCATGAACTGCTAGTTTATATAGAGCATCAAGTGCCAACAGCTGAAAGACATAGGTTAGAACACACTATTGAAGCTTATGTCTTTGGTGCACTATTATCTGCTGCAAATATTATTTATTTTAAACATACTCCCTTAATATGTAAAACTTAATGACTAGGGGCAGCAAGGATAGCAGTAGCTTCTTTTCCAGTATGTGGCATCTGCAGTTCAAAAACTTAGTTCTCCATTTGTCCCAGATAAAGAAAAAACACGAGGTAACCATTACCCTTCCTTAAAGAGTTTAGAATGCCCTGGCTGATTAAATACCACAGGTTTCAATGGAAGGATAAAAACTCTTAACTTTAAATGATCTTTTAAAGTATGTGCAACCCTGTGTAAATTTCATCATACTATACTCTGATTTTATATCCTCCAAAGCATAAGTACATACACATTAGGTGAGCAAAAAAATCTATCTGGGATAGCTGCCTATTTGGAGTGACACACACAAAGACAGTTTGCTTTTCTAAACTTCTGTTAAGGATAAAACATGCTGTCTTCATTTCTTTTTAGTACTCTTCTGATTTGAAGAGGATCTGAAGTAACGTTAAACAATAAAAGCATAAATAATAAGGATGCACATTTTGCTGCTGAATTGAGATCTGTAGATAGCAGTTCCAGATCAACAATAAAAAAATGAATCTGTTCTTGCTAAAAAGCCAGGACAGAAGCAATTAGGAAAATAATCAAAGAAACCATAAAGTACTGCAGAGGTGTGATAACAATCCCAAATTACTTATATCAAGAAAGGGACTAAAAAGAGGTCTCTGTGACTGTATTTCAATCAGCTGTATCTCACATGGGCAACAACTAGTATAAGAACTAACAATGTACTTCACTGTTCTCCGTAGAAAGCGACTGAACGTCATCACATTTATGTTTTTGGAAGACCCCAAAACATGTGTGTGTCACATTAGGTACTTGTACATTCCTTTACAATGACTTTACATTGCTTGTAAGAAACATTTACAGCCTCCCATGGAGTTCCATATTGCTGTCTAAACTGCAGGAGAATATATTAAATCGAGGTGGGCCGTACACCTCTTTCAGCCACTGATGGAGTGGCCAAAGCAGGGCTTCAGGTTAGCTTGCAGATAGTGCTTTGTAACTGGCATTACAGTATTAATGATTTAGACTATATTTTTATTTTTAAATAGTAAAAAGGCAAAAATCGCAATAAAAACATGAGCCAGACAGACATTCTCTCGTGTTCTGACAAAACGCAACCCTCCAAAAAATAAACTATAAATTAAATAGCAATACAGAGGAAGCATGGCACATGCTAGGAACTATCAAAATCAGAAGTGTACATTTGTTACTACTCAGAAAAGCGATAATTTTGAACTTCCTGACTTGAACCAAACCACAACCATAAAACAATGAGGATGAAGTAAATAATCTATTAATAACTATCTTTAAACTATGTAAGCTATGTGTGCATTCCATTGAAATGCACATACACCACAGTCTTTTATTTATGTTCCTAGAAATGATCTAAGCTTTTTCTTTGAGTAGTTATATCTCCTTTCTCATGAATTCCAAAACAAGTGTCAGAAAAGGAGCTGCTGGGCATCACACACGGGAAAGAAAAACATTTCAGGCATTCTGACATATTTCTGGCTTCTACATCTGCTATATTGTCTGGAAGACCAATGAGTATGCAGGTAATAAGGAAAAAAAACATCAACACCAGATGCCTGAGTAAAAAATGCATTTCTAACGAATCTATTTTAAGCCAAAAGGAAAAACAAGTCTGTAATAAAAGAAAGGAGACAATATAAAAAACCTAATATAAATGGGAAAAATAAATGTACTCTTGTTTTAAAATAAACCAAATGGTCTGTTTGTCGTTGGATACAAAGCAAAAGTATTTCTAAAGATACGGCCTTTGCCCTAACTCACCTCTTCATGGCTCCAAACCAGAATCCTCAGCAAATTCTCCCCAAAAGATGGAAGGATAAACACTACACCTCATTCACATGGTATTTTTCATATGATTGACACAGTTGCCTTTAAAATATTTTGTGGCATGATTCAAAGAATTTAATGTAACATATGCTATGAAATTCATATGGTTTTAATACTGAAGTATTTGTTGTACAACACACAAGCTTTCATTCACACTAACTTTTCTTCAATTCCTATCTTCTACTTTGCAATAAAAGAAAAGCATTCAAATGTATGGTGTAGAGCTACAAAATAAATGCATACAGTCTTCATCTCTGTGGCTTACACCAGTAAGACCAATAGCATGCTTTTCTAAATAAGTGTTCTTTGTACAATTAAGATGATGCTTTCTTCAATTTTATATGAAAAACACTTGTTGAAACACTCTTTGCCATTTCAACCAGAACATTTGTACATTGTTTGCATGCATGCATTTGTCATGGTAAAGAAAAATTGAGTCACAGATAAATAAAAATATGGAGCTTTGCTCGAATCATGCAGAAACAAATAACTAGCAAAAAAGCTTCAACAAAATCAAGCTTTTTTTTTTTTTTTTTTTTCTTCCTCTGCGCAAGACAATAGTCCTCTTTCCCTTGCTTGTGTTGAGATTTCAGTTCAATACTTCTATTTGGTCTAATGTTTCACAGAAGCAGTATAAATCTTAGCAATGAAACTGAACCATGAAGGGCAGATTTAAACTCTAAGTCTAAACACACCGAACTTATTAAGGATAATGAAGTATACAGTATTTTTTTTTCCTATTGATTCAACAAGAGAAGCAAGCTTACCAGATGCTTTTGAAATTACATTCTGAAAAAAAAACAAACCCAAAAACTTAAGTATCTGAACACATGCTTCTCTGGTTCTTCATTTAAGCTATTGATTATCCTCAGTTAAACAGGCATTTCTGCCATGCTGTTAGTGATTACATT